TTGGTACTGAAAAAAAAAAAGAGAGAGATGAAGATTACTTCTAAAGAGACTGATGAAACCCCAAGACTGTGGCCTGAGGCACCGTTTGGGCTGTATTTACTCCCTTTGCTTAATTCTTTTACCACCATAATTATTATTTTATTTTTTTTTTAAGTGTTATTGTGATTTGGGTGAAAGTTTATAAAGCAAATTCATCTTCCATACAGGAGTTCACATATACTTTGTCTCATGACATTGACTACAGTCTCCCACAATCCTTTGTTTAACCTTTAGCCAAACAATAGACAGGCCTAGTAGCTGAACAACAACACCAGGGAGATGAACTCCTTAGAACACTCAGCCATTATCAGAAGGGCAGCATTTGCACAGGAAGTCAGGCAGGAATGTGTAGGTAAGAAGGACACAGGGACAGAGCAACCACAGGGAGGAGGTGGGAGAAGAGCTTTTAAATTGTGGGGATTATAATCAATGTCATGAAACAAAATGTGTGTGAACTGTTGATTGTAAAATGAATTTGCTTTGTAAAATTGCACCCAAATCACAATAAAAAGGGGGAATAAAAAAAGACAGTATGGGACTGGCATAAGGATAAACACATAGATAGTGGAATAGAATTGATAGTTTAGAAATAAACCTTCACATTTATGTCAGTGGGTTTTCAACAAGGATGCCAACACAATTTAATGGAAAAAGAATAGTCTTTTCAACAAATGGATATCCACATGCAGAAGAATGAAATTGAGCCCTTTCCTCACACGATAAGAAGAAATTAACTCAAAATGGATCAAAGACCTAAATGTAAGGGCTAAAACTATAAAAACTCTTAGAAAAAAATGGGAGTAAATCTTCATAACTTTGGGTAAGGCAGTAGTTTCTTAGGTATAACACCAAAAGCCAAGCAACAAAAGAAAAAGTATATGAATTGGACTTCGTCAGAATTAAAACTTCCATTCCTCAAAGGGTGCTATCAGGAGAATGGAAAAACAACCCATAGTCTGGGAAGAAATATTTGCAGATGATTTATCTGATAAAGGCTATTGTTGTTAGGTGCCGTCGAGTCATATCCGACTCATAGCGACCCTATGCACAGCAGAACGAAACGCTGTCTGGTCTTGTGCCAGTCTCACGATCCTTGCTATACCTGAGTCCAGATAAAGGGTATATAGCCAGAATATAAAAAAGAACTCTTAGAACTAAGAGGACAACACCATAACCCAACAACTCCAATGATTAGAAAAAGCAAGAAAAGCTTATAGTCTCCAGAAAAAAAATATAATGAAGATGAGAGTAGAAATGAAACATAACAGAAAAACAGTAGAAAAAAATCAAGACTAGAAGTTGTTTCTTTGAAAGATTAACAAAATGAATAGACCACTGGCAAATTTAAAGAAAAGGAAGATTCACATAACACGAATAATAAATGAAATGGGAAACATCAAAACAGAACTGACTGAAATGAAAAAGGTAATAACAATACTGTGAAGAATTTTACTCCAACAGATTTGAAAACCTAAAATGGAAAAATTTCTAGAAATACAGCAAGCCCTACCTAAACTAACAGACTGAGATGGAAACTTGAACAGACCCATAACAAAAGAAGAAATTGAGGAGGTAATTAAAAGAAAAAAAATCCCCACAAAAAAAGTCCTGGCCCAGATGTCTCCATTGGAGAATTCTGTCAAACTTTGAGAGAAGAGTTGACACCTATCCTACCCAAGCTATTCCAAAGCATAGAAAAGGATGGAATAGTCCCAGGTTCATTCTATGAAGCAAGTATAATCCTGATACAAGAAACTCACCTTAGACACAAAGACAAAAAATAGACTAAAAATCAAAGGTTGGAAAAAGATCTATCAAGCAAATGGCAATCAAAAAGGGCAGAAGTGGCAATATTAATTTCTGATAAAATAAGACTTTAAGACAAAAATGACCATAAGAGACAGGGAAGGATATTATATAATGATTAAAGGATCAATTGAACAAGAGGACAAAACCATAATAAATATCTATGCACCCATTGAAAGAGCCCCAGAATACATAAATCAGATTTTAACAGAATTAAAAAGACAAAAAGATCAATCCACAATAATAGCAGGAGACTTTAATACACCACTATCAATAAAAGATAGAACAACTGGAAAGAAACTCATCAAAGATACAGGAGAACTGTTTTGTTTACTTCATGCCGCTTACAGGAAATACCACAGGTGGATAGCTTTAATAAACAGGAGTTTATTCTCTTATAGTTTCATAGGCTAGAAGTCCTAGTTCCAAGTGCCAGCCTTGAAAGCTGAAACCGTTCCCTTGCCAACAGGAACCAGATAAGGATGCCCTCTATCTCCATTTCTATTCAGCACTGTAATTCAATCAGTAATTTTATATAGAATGGAAAGAGACCTTGGGTAAGTAAAGCACTACTGAAGAAGAATAACAAAGTAGGAGGTCTCACACTCCCAGATCTCAAAACCTACCACAGTTTTCAAAACAGCCCAGTATTGGTACAGTGATGGACACATAGACCAGTGGAATGGAACTGAGAACCCAGAAATAGATCCATCAACTTGTGGTTAGCATGTCTTTCACAAAGGGCCAGAATCCATTAGATGGGTAAGAGATGGTGTTTTTCACAAATGGTGGTAGTGCTGGCAGACTGAACATCCATTTGCAGAAAAATGAAACAAGATCCATACCTTACTTCACACACAAAAACTAACAACAGATGGATCAAAGACTTAAATGTGAAACGTAAAACTATAAAATTCTTCAAAGAAAAAATAGGGGCAAACTTAGGGGCCCTAATTTATGGCATAAATAAACTATCAAGCATAACCCAAGATGCACAAAAAGCAGAAGATATACTAGACGATTGGGACCTTCTGAAAATTAGATTCTTAGGTGCATCAAAAGACTTCTCCAAATGAGTAAAAAGAGAACCTGCAGATTGGGGAAAAGTATTCGGCAGTGACATACCAGACAAAAGACTTATCTCTAAAATTTATAGAAAACTCCAACACTTCAATATCAATAAGACAATCCAGTGGAAAAATGGGCAGAATATAGGAACAGACACTTAGCCAAAGATGATTGTGGTGGTTCTGTTTTTGTGTCAGCTCAGCTGAGACTGGTTGAGTGGATGGGCACCTGGATGTAGTTATTCCCCATGGTGGACTGGTAATTAACTCTATGGTGGAATCTATTGGAGCAGCTGAGGAGCTGCTTTGGGTATGTGCTCTGCTTCCTATATATAAGAAACAGCTTTGGGAATAGTCTCTAGCTTATGGCAGCTTGAACCTTGCATTTAGCCATGTCATTCAGCAGCCTGCCATGCTCTGCTGACCTGGGGACTTCCAATGGACTTAAATTAATGGCCTGCCATGTGGTTTGGTAACATTGGGATGGTGCCTTTTTACTTGTCAACCTTGGGCTTGTCAGTCTCAGCAGCCAGCAGCTGTCTGAGGGAAGAAAAGCCTCTAGCTCCAGAGGGCCAGGAGCAGGAGGCAGAGCTGAAGCCCAAGGTTGAAGGGCTTTCACCCAGCCCCTAGAGCCTGGCACTTTGAACTTGGACTTAAAGCCTCCAAACTGTAAGAGAATAAACTTCTGTTTGTTAAGGCCATCCCATTTGTGGTATATTCTTGTTAGAGTGACACTAGGTAACCAGAACAAGGATATTCAGGTAGCCAACAAACACATGAAGAATTATTTGTGATTATTAACCATTAGAGAGATGAAAATCAAAATAAGCATGAGATACCATCTCACCTTAGCATTAATAGTAGAGTTTAACAAGACAGAAAATAACAAATGCTGGTGGGAATATGGAGGGATTGAGACTCTCATACACTGCTGGTGGGACTGTAAAATAATATAACCAATGTAGAAATCATCATGGTGATGCCTTAAAAAGTTGGAAATGGAAATAGCATTTGATCCAGCAATCCCATTACTAGGTATATATCCTGAAGTAGTGAGAGGCAGGCCTATGCATACCCATGTTCATCACAGCACTACTCAAAATAGCAAAGAGATGGAAACAACCTAAGTTCTCATCAACTGAAGAATATATAAAGAAACTGTGGTACATACACACAGTGGAATACTATGCAACCCTAAAGAATAATGTAGAATCTACAACACATCGCACAATGTGGATAAACTTAGAGAATATTATGCTGAGTGAAATCAGTCAATTATAGAAAGATTAATATCGTATTGTTGTTATGTGCTATCAAGTTGGACCCTACCCATAGCGACCCCTCCTTGGGTTTCTGAGGCAGTATTTCTATGGAAGTAGATTGCCTAATCTTTCTTCTGAGGAATGGCTGGTGGGTTTGAACCGCCAACCTTCTGGTCAGCAGTCAGATGCCTTAGGCACTATGCCATCAGAGCTCCCTCATTGGTTGTTAGGGAAATGCAAATCAGAAACACAGTAGTATGCCACTTCATACCCACCACAAAGGCTGTATTAAAAAGACAATAGGAAGTGTTAGTAAAGATGTAGAGAAATTGGAACCTTCCTGCTTTGCTGGTGGGAATGTAAAGTGATACAGCTGCTGTGGAATACAGTTTGGTGGTTCTTCAAAATGTTAAACACAGAATTTCCACATGAGCCAACGTTTACATCCTAGGTATATAACCAGGAGAAATAGAAACACAAAAATTTGTACACTAATGTTTGTAACACCAGGATTCCAAATAGCCAAAAAGTAGAAACAAATCAAATGTCCGTCCATCAGCCAATGAATGTACAAACAAAATGTGGTATGTTCACACAATGGAATGTTATTTGGCAATAAAAGGAAAAAAAAGTATTGATACTGCAAAATGGATGAATGTTTTAAGTATGCTTAGTGAGAAAAGACAGCCACAAATGACCACATGTTATATGATTCACTTTATATGAAATTTCCAGAATAGACAAATCATAAAAACAGAAAATAGGTTAGCTGTTGACCAGGCTTAAGGGGGAGGCATGGTGAGTGGTAATGGAAACAGGATTTTTTGGGGGCGATGACAAAATGTTCTAAACGTAGTTGCACAACTCTGTGAACATATTGGAAAATCACTGAATGAAAAAAACTGAAAAGCAAACTCACTGCCATCGAGTTGATTCAGACTCATAGCAACCCCTTTGGGATTCTGAGGCAGTAAATCTTTATGGAAATAGATTACCCCATCTTCCTTCTGTGGAGTGGCTGGTGTGTTTGAACCTCCAGCCTTCTGGTTAGCAGTCAAGTGCCTTAGGCACCATGTCACCAGAGCTCCTGAAAAAAATCGCTGAATAGTATACTTTAAATCGATGACTGTTATAATATGTAAATTATGCCTTAGTAAAGCTGTTTTTAAATATAGTACAGTGAATTCTTAATTCAGCCATAGCCCATTAGCACAGTATTCCTCTTTTATTACAAAAGCCAAGCCAAACCCACTGCTGTCGAGTTGATTCTAACTCAGCAACCCTCTGGAACATAGTAGAACTTCCCGGTAGGGTTTTCAAGGCTGTAAATCTTTGAGGAAATAGAGTACTTCATCTTTCTCCTTTGAAGCAGCTGGTGGGTTTGAACACTGACATTTTGGCCAGCAGCCAAATGCCTTAACCATGTGGTGCCAGGGCACCTTTTCTTCTTTCACTGACTAATGTGTAAATAAAAATACCTTGTTAAACATTGGTGCAAGCTTCCCTCACTGAAAAGAGTGTAGTTTTCCAATTTCAGATGAAGACTTTTTAACATTATGCTTCTTTGTCTATTCAATTGACTTGAATATTTCCAGTTACTTGAGTTAAAATCCATTTGGCCTAATGTTTTTAAAATGAGTCACCCTGTCATACCATTTTGTCTTCAGTATTGCAACCCTCTCACATCTCTTAGAAGCACTAGATTTTTGAGTCTGTATTCCCCAGCACAAGAGTTACTGTAAAGTACCCAGAATCTTAAGAGTTTGTCATCTTGGGAACAATAGGGACTTACATGTAGGTATGAATTTGTGGTCCTGCCACTCAGGAGCTATGACATCTTGGTTATTTTTCAACTGCTGTAAGCTCTATTTCATTTGGGAAGTAGGGATTGTCCCCGCTTTTAAGTTTGTTGTTAGGAAAAGAGATGCACTATGTAAAGTAACATAGTGTCTGTCACATAGAAAACTTAAAAAAAAAAAATGGTTAACAGTCTACTTCAGTAAAGATTGGAAACCCTATGGCGGTCACTGAATCAGAATTGACTTGATGGCAGTGCATTTGGTTTTTGGTTATTATCATTAATCTGGTAATCTTCATGATTCAGAATCAATTTGTGGGCAGATGGTTTTTTTTGTTCTGTTTTTTTTTTTTTTTTTTTTTAAAGTTTCCTAAGAAAACTGCTGTGGGTATCTTTTAATCTAGATTAACCTTTTGCAGGGTTTATTTGGAGTAACCCAAGCCTCACAGCCTGGTCTTTTTGGGACAGCTACAAACACCAGCAGTGGGACAGCATTTGGAACAGGAACGGGTCTCTTTGGGCAGACCAGTACTGGATTTGGTGCTGTTGGTTCGGTAAGTTTTTACAGTTGATGATAACTTGAAATCATGTATAAATCTGTTAAAAGGGCTTTCTAAGTAAAGATTTGACTGTCTTTTAAATATATACTGTATATACTGTGTAATTTGATGTTGAGAACAACTAAAAACTATTTCATGTAAAGTAGGTAATTTCAGTAGGTTTGTTGTCACCTAGTAAATTATTTTCTTTTTAAAACTTCTTTGCCTTAATGCTTGTGTGCAGTTTACTTCTGATAGCAAAGGTGGAGTTTAATTGAGCTGTTAAAATCAGATATATATATTTTTAAGATTAAAATCCAGTGCTTTTTTTTTTTTTTTTTAATTTTACTGGGTTGGGTGAAAGTTTACAAACCAAATTCATCTTCTGTATAGCAGTTCACATACACTTTGTCTCATGACATTGACTGTGATCTCCTACATTGTAACAGTTCTCCTCCCACTTCTTCCCTGTAGCCACCTCCTCCCTATGTCCTTTCCTCCTATCCACTCCTGCCCCCTGAGGTGTCTCCCTGTGCATAAACAGCCCTTCTATTCCCCCATGATTGATCTCTCCAAGGAGTATATCTACCTAATGTAAACGTTCAGCTCATATGCCTGTCTTTTGTTTGGCTGGAAGCCACAGGATTGGATTCAATCCCATACCTGAAGGGCAGCTAGGGCCCATAGTCTTGGGGGTTTTACCAGGTTCTACCAGACCCGCAAACCTGGTCCACTTCTCCCCACCTTTTTTTTTTTTTTTAATGATTTTGAGTTTTGTTCCACATTGTTCTCACTCTATCCAGGATCTCCTAGATAGATAGGAACGGGTTCCGAGTGGTTGACAGTGGTAGCCGGGCACCATCTAGTTCTTCTGGTCTCATAGTCATATAGGCTGAGGATTGCATAGTGTACCAGTCCCTTGGACCAGTTGTTTCCATGTGTCTTTGGTTTGATACTGGAGACTAAATTATTTTCAGTTTAAATAGAATTTTAAGGGAAAAGTTGCTATTTTGGAATGTAGTTGACCTAGAAATAATAGTAAATTCTATATTACTACTTAAAAATAACTGGTTATATGAGAATCAGTATGAAATAACCAATTTGCATTATGTGTCCCTTATATGTAGCTTTGAACTTGCTATTGTGGGTAGTTAAAAAAACAAAAAAGAAACAAAATCTGTGAAACATATGCTTCTATTTTCATTGTTAGATCTGATGTTTCTGAACTTAATTTGGTGAGAAATCAAGAAACTTACATAATGTTTGAGATGTTGTTGTTGTTAGGTGCTGTCGAGTTGGCTTCAAATATAGTGACCCTGTGTACAACAGAGCAAAGCACTGCCCAGTCCTAAAGTAATATATCAGACAGTGTTTGACTACTGTTCATAAGATTTTCACTGGCCAGTAGTATGGGACGTGGATGGCCCTTTCCTTCTTCTGAGTCTGTCTTTGTCTGGAAGCTCTGCTGAAACTTGTCCACCATGGCGGACCCCGTTGGTATTTGAAATACTGGTAGCATAGCTTTCAGCCTCACAGCAACATGCAAGGCACCACAATACAACAAACTGACAGACATAATACTTGAGAGGCTTCTTAATATTTTATTTTAATCAAGATACAATTAAAAAAAAAAAAAGATATAATCTACCTGCTCCTGTGTTGTTGTTGTTGTTGTTATTCGCTATGAGTCGGGGCCGACTCGATGGCAAATAACAACAACAACAACAACAACACAGTTTACCCATTTAAGATTTCAATTTATTGATTTTTAGTATAGTCACAAGTTGTAAAAGTATTGTATCACAACCAATTTTAGAACATTGTCATTACCCCAAAAAGGAACTCCCTCCTTATTAACATCACTCCCCCTTCTCTCTAACGGCCTAATTCTAGTCAACCACTAATCTACTTTCTGTCTGTATGGATTTGCATATTCTGAACATTTCATGTAAATGTCATGGTACAACAGTATGGTATTTGGTAACTGGGTTTTTTCACTTAGCATAATGTTTTCAAGGTTCATCTATGTTGTAGTGTGTTTAAGTTTTTTATTGCAACTGTTCCTACTGGCAAGTTAAATTCTTGATGAGGCATTTCTGTTTCAAAGTAAAAAAATGTTTGGTTGCTTAGTTATTTTTTTTCTCCTAGACTTTAATGAAAATCCTGTGTTGCGGAGAGGTTTTCAGGCTAGCACACTGTGTTTTGTAAAATCAATCTGCTCAGATTATTTTGATTTGTTTTTCTGATAGTTTTTGTTCATTATTCTTTATAAATGTTATGATATCTCTCTTCCAACCCACTTCCCCACCCAATGCAGTATACCTGAAGTAGCCTCTCTTTACTGTTGCATGTATACCTTTATATTATTTTACATTTATCTGTGTTTTGTTCTTTTTAGACCCTGTTTGGCAATAACAAGCTTACTACATTTGGAACCAGCACAACCAGTGCTCCTTCATTTGGTACAACCAGTGGCGGGCTCTTTGGTAACAAACCAACCCTGACTTTAGGAACCAATACAAACACTTCCAATTTTGGTACATATAAAAAGCAGGTTTGACTCTCTTAAAGTTACACTGCCTATACCACACGTCATTCTCCTGATTCATACGATTGGGAATGTTTAAAAATTCTCAGGTAAGCCATGGCTTGGTATGAGGTATCAGAGGGAAAAGAAAATCATGGACGTGAGTTAAGAAAATTAGAAGAGATATAAATTGCCTTTCCTTGTATAAATTCTATTGTCTTTCTACTTTGGACAAAATGTACTTGCAGAGTACCTAGCAGAAAGTTCATTGTCTCATGGAGATAGTTTTTTATTTTTTCCAAAATAAGGAAAATTATTTTCTTTGGGTTACTTGACCAGTAACTGAGAAGGCATAAATGAGACATATTTGGTTAAGATAACACATTCTTTTAGGCCAGTTTTCAAACTTGGAAATAGTGTACAGGAGATAGTTTGATGATTCTTACTGAAAGTTGAAACCTTCCTGATTTTAGAGATCATACAGTAGTTTTCTGGCTGTTTCAATAATTTTATTTTTCTGACTCTATAACAGTACATGTTCATTGTAAAAATAGAAAAATACAGATAAAATTTAACAATCAAGTAAAAAACAAACAGAAAATCCTAAACTATGCTTCAGAGATATGCTGGAAATTTTAAAACCAGTATCTTAAATGTCTCCTGACATTAGCTCATTTAGTTTTCAAATAAATTTAATATTATTTGTGTTAAATAAGATATGGGAAGTTGACTTTATTTTCAAATATCTGTTGAGGTCTCATGTGCCAGATGCATCACTTAGGGACTGATTGACTCTTTTTTGAGAGATGAGCACAAAGATAATGGCCATTTGGTATAGTTCAGCAGTTACACTGTCCTTTAGTCTGTTTTTGAAGAATCTTATACTAGAGAAAAAGAACATATTAAACATTCATTTGAAGATTATATGTTTTCACAGAAGTACATGAAGGAGGAAGATAGGTCTTTGTCAGCTACCAATTCCTAAATTTATGTATTTTGTTTGGTTTTTACAGTCCCTTTTAACCCTGTTGCTTGCTTATTCCTAGTAATGATTATAGTTCTGCCTATGATTCTTTTTGGTTATATCTTACTTGAAAGCACAGCTTTGAGGTAGTGGATTTGGTTAGCATAGGTAAGATACCTAGTTTTGTATTTATGTTTCTTATCTATAAAATTAGAATGGGCAAGATATGTAAGGGGGGGATACATCATTACTTCTCAACCTTTTTTTTTATTATTACTCCTTCTCCAGGTCTACAAAGTAAACCTTTTTCCCTACTCATCCTTTCTCCCATGAAATTTTAGTTCCTCAGACATACAATGTATTTCTTTATGTACTGTGGCAATTTGTACTACCACCAAGCCAAACCAAACCAAACCAGACCCACTGCATCAAGTCAGTTCTGCTTCGTAGCAACCCTATAGAGAGTAGAACTGCCCCATAAGGTTTCCAGAGCTGTAAATCTTTATAGAAGCAGACTGCCTCATCTTTCTCCTGTCGATGAGCTTCTGGTAGGTTCAAACTGCTGACTTTTTGGTTAGCAGGTAAATGTTTTAACCACTGCACCTCCAGAGCTCCTTTGGACAACACAAACCGTTATAATGTCTATGATTTTTCAGCCCTCCCATAAAAACAGTTTTTGCCCCTTTGGGAATATATAGGCTTAACAAAAAGCTCTTCTTGTTGTATACTTCATTTTCAGAATTGTTACTTTTATCTGACCAGGGTGCTTATATAGGGTATACTTGATAAAAATAGGCTGTACTTTTAAAATATATTTGATATTATACCATGGTTATAGATTTCTGATTTGCTTGAGGATTTTTTTTGTTGTATGAATTTATTTACACCTAAGTTCAGTGATTTGAAATTGAAAGCCCTAATCTTGATCTAGCTTGCGTGCTGAATTTGAATTGTCTTTAATTTTAATTTGTAAAATTGTTTTTGAAATAACAGGGTTGGTAAACTTTTGTAAGTGATAATCAGAGGGAATGTGTGGTATAAACAGTGTAAATTGGGACTTAATTCCCTTGTGTGGGTTTGAGGTAGTTCACCAGTATCTCCTTTTCTTCTGTTTATGAGACTGAAACATCCTTTCTGGTTAAATTTTAACTCAAAAGAAATGCAGTGTTTCCATGTTTGTTTGTTTTTAAATAAAAAAGTTGATTGTGCTTGTATAGGCAGCCCTCCATTTTTGTGGTATCTCTATTTAGCACAATTCAAGAAAAGATTTAATGAATGCATGATTCAAATATATTGTGATTATATCAGATTTCTTGCCTGGCTTTTAAAATGACATTAGAAATACATTTCTTTTGAAACTGTTATATTCTTTTACTTCAACTTTTTTTCTTGAGATAATCCAAATATTCCAACCACTGTTATCAGGTCAATTCCGACTCATAGCAATGTTACAAAACAGAGTAGAATTGCCCCATTGTGTTTCCAAGACTGTAGATCTTTACAGAAGCAGAATGCTTCATCTTTGTCCTGCAGAACAGCTAATGGCTTTGAACCACCAACCATTTTATTAACAGCTGAATGCCTTAGCCACTGCACTACCAGAGCTCCTTATCAAATACTAGGCATGACAAAGTATGATAATCTTAGTTGGTGATGCTGTGGTATATTCTAAAATATTCTCTTTGCTATCTTTTGGACTTCGTTTCCCTCCATGATACTAAAAAGTGACGTCAAGGGCTTGCCAAACATGTTTTTTTCTGGCCAGTAATTGACTTTTTTTTTCTCCCCTATCTCCCTTATCCTGGGAGGATAATGGTATGTTCATTAGCTATTATGTTGATATTTAGCTTCAGAAGGAGTGCAGTTTGTAGGTATAGCTGAACAAATGAGAATAATAGCAATAGTACAATCTAGGTATCTTTGGGGGGGAGACCTCTGGTTTTTAAAGGTGAGTCACATATGTCTCTAAATCATGCTTCATGGTGAAGGAGGATAGTTTTCTCAACTCTCCATTGTCTCTGATGGAAGAAATAGTTCAACTCGGAGCAAGTTATTCATACTGTCTTTTCTTTTTAATACTAGCTAATTATTTGAGAGCTGATTTAGCATGCCAGCATTAAATCTCCTCAAATGATCAATCCCACATTACTATCCATGCCAAGTTCAGCTGGCCAAAATAATAGCTGCTATAGAGATTTTTATACATAGTTTTCTCTCAGCAAGAACTTACAGTTAGGTTCAACAAAGTGTCTTTATTATTTGACTATCTTAATTTGTCATTTGAACAGATGAGGTTTTTTGGTTTTGTTTTTGATGATTAAACATGAAACATGGATTGGAAGCTTTGGGCCATACAAAAGTGATGTTCCCCAAATTCAAACACAATCATTTTGCTTTAATATTGGATATCATTTTACATTAAAATGATATTTTAAAGCTGAGAATAATTAAGCAAATGTGAGGACTTCAGGGATCAGTTTGCAGGAATCAAGAGTTATATTAAAAAAAGAAAAAAAGTTAAATTAGCCTACCATTTAGGAATCCTAAATATTAATTTCATTCTGTTTTATGTAGGGTTGCTATGAGTCGGAGTTGACTCGATGGCACCTAACAACAACAAATATTAGTAAGTGAAAAGATACAAAGCTTAGGGTCAGGCTGCTTTGTTTTAAACTCCATTGTAGAGGAATTTAGGGATTGTGTTGAAAGTATAGCCCACTCATTCTTCTGTCCTCTTAGGTTTCGGCACAAATACCAGTGGAAATAGCATTTTTGGAAATAAACCAGCAACTGGGAATTTGGGAACTGGACTTGGAGCAGGATTCGGGACAGGTAAGGAACTGCTATGACAAGAGTTAGGAAGTGATACATCTTGGCTTTCTAATCTCTGGAACATAAAGGCTCTATTTGGTCATATGCCTGGAAATAAAGAGACCCAGATTTCCATTTTCACAGATGGATTCATAAAACTTTACCAGCATTTATACTTTACCAGGTCTTGAAACATTGGTACATTTATCTTACAGGCTACATGTTCCTTTGTCCTTTCTCAGTGCTGATATATATGGAATTTTCAGTTTTTATTGTGCAAATTGTCAATATGACTTTCTTAACTTTGTTGTTTTGGTGACAAGGATTTGAGATTTTGAACTGTTTATTAAGTAAGTTTTATTACCCTAATGGTATGGCAGAGCAGAAAGTGCACATGTTGAAGTATTTACCACATCTGATATTTTTCAGGTTCTGTACACATACCCTTCAGTTCTTTCCACTGTGACACCACCCTGAAATGTTACCCCTTAGTCTCTCTTCCTACTGCTGTCCAGTAATTATTTTTCACGCCTTTGAAGACACTGCTTTTAAACAGTTGGAGGGTAGTGTGGGTCGTAAAATGGATAAGTGCTTTAGCATGTACAGTTCAACTAGGTTGTTAAGCATACAGTTTTGCCTGCCTTCCCATTTTTTATGACCATTTATTTCCATGGTTTCTGCTTCCATTGTCCAATTATCTGTTGTCTTTGTTTCTAGGATTTGATCATTCATCTGTCATCTCCTTAATAGAGCCTCATTTTGTACTCTGAAATATTTCTTTTCATTTGTTTTTTTCCTTTTAAAAGAAAGGTAAAAGTGCTTACAAAATACTTCCAGCAGTACAGAAATATCATGAAAAATCAAAGTCTTTCAGCTGTGAAATAACAGCTGTTAAAAGTTTGGGATGTATCTTGTCAGACCCCTTTCTATTTATTTTTCTTCTATTTTTTAAAATTTTTATTGTGATTTGGGCGAAAGTTTACAGAGCAAATTCATTTCCCTACAGAAATTCATATACATTTTGTCTCATGACATTGACTGCAATTCCCCATAATTCTACTTATTTTTCAAACATGCATTTATATAGACACATATACATGTATATTTGTACATACGTGTATTTTATATATAGGTTCTTTGCTGTTTTTAAATGGAAACCATACTCTACGTGAGTATTTTTTAAACCAAAGGCTGAGATGCATTAGTTGGTTGCAGTATTAATATAGTAGATTATAGCCAGGATTTTAAAATTATGAATAAGAATTTAAAAAATCCTTGTACATATTAAGGTTAAGTATTGCTTTATGAAACTTGTATTCCTGTTATATATATGTATGTGTGTTTTAGATCTCAATATATTTCATATGCTCTAGTCAAAAATGTTTGAAAGCAACTGTCTTAAATAGTATTCTGTGACTTGTTTTTTCATTTCATATCATATAGGCATTTTTTATTTTTTCCTTTTTGGTCAGTACCTATAGCTCTATTTCATTAAAACAAAAGTAGTATTCTATAATGTATATATATATGTGTGTGTATGGGTATACACACACATATAAATATCTATACACGCACTATTATTTACTTAACTTTTCCCCTGTTCTTGCACATTTGATTTAGGTGATATTATTAGCAATGCTCTAATGAAGATCCTTGTTACATAATTTTGTTTGTTAGTATTACTGTAGTGTTGGTACTTAGAATTGGAATTATGTCAGAATAGACACATATTTTGAATTTTGGTAGCTTCTGCTAATTCACCTTTGCAAAAAGACTATGCCAATTTGCATTCTTGCTCACATTGTATAAGAGTGGCCATTTTCCTTGTATCCTTTCGATATTGGTGGGCTTTTTCATTTTGGCATAGATGATAGTGGAAATTGGCATCTTCAGTTTGCATTTCACTAATTACTGGTAAGGAGCTCTGGTAGCTTAGTGCCTAAAGCACTTGACTGCTAACCAGAAGGCTGGCGGTTCAAACCCACCAGCCACTCATCGGAAGGAAAGTTGGGCAATCCTACTTCCGTAGTGATACTGCCTCGGAAACCCAAGGAGGGGTCGTTATGAGTCGGGGCCGACTCGACGGCAAATAACAACAACAGCAACAACAATTACTGGTAAAGGTGAATATCTTTATGGATTTTTATGTCCATTTGCATCTTTCAATTAACTATTCATAATGTTTGATCATTGTTTCTTAATTTGCTTGTTAGTGCTTTATCATGGATAATAATTCTTTTTAGCTATATGATAGAATCTTACTTCAGTGTTTTAACTTTTCCACATTTTACCTGTATATATTTTGCAAAAACCTAAAGCTGAAAAGCTCTTTTTGTTTGTACGTTGTGATCCCTGGACTTAAACAGAACATATCATTTGATTTTCTGCCAGAGAAACGGTATTCTCTTCTACACCTGGAGGAAAAACTAGCTTTGGTATGGGGAGATGAAGGGATTTCTCAAGGTTTGTTGTGACTCTGGAGTTTGCACACTGTGAACTTAAGACCTGAATAAGATGCTACTCTCTGTCACATATATTTCCACCAAGGATCTTTATGTACAAGTTGTTATTTTTATGTATTGACAGTTGTCCTTTCCTCTCTGGCTTTGAGGCTTGCGGGTCTTGATTAGGAATGCTTTCTCTTGTAGCCCAAGATTATTATTTTTTTAATGTATTTTTTTTTTCTGTTGCTTCTGCTTTGTGAAAATTTGATAGTCCAACCTTTTTATTTATTTGAATATATTCAATTTTTCTTAAACAGTTTTCCCTTATATGTATCACATTACATTTTTTGTTATTACTATATATTCCTTATTAATTTATTGTCCATATACTAAACTAAAAGACAAATATAGCCAGTAAAGTTTACACCCCACCCTTAGCAGCTGTAATTAACGTAGGGAAGTAATAATGATGAAAATCACCAAACACACTCTTGGAATTTCTTGATGAACACTTCTGTAAAAGCTGACTTTCGATTTTTAGAGAAATGTGTTCTGAGATCTTTCTATACAAACACTCATCTTCAGGAACTCTGAATTTCATGGGATCACAAATAGAGTAATGTGTCTTTGGCCTGTATTTTTGGGCATTGGCTGAGTGACTGGTCCTGTGCAGCCTCTTATTTTCAGTGATGGATATTCAAACTCATGCCTCAATAAAAATAAATTTTCCTGTAACATAGGCCTTTGGGATTTTCATGAGTAGTTGACAATATAAATATTAAATGCATTAAATATTATTGTCTGTTAAAAGGTATCTAGTAAAGGCAGTCTTTGTATTCTTAAGGTTTACTTGACCAGTCTTAGTATAAAATGTTTTATACTGTCCTTTAATGTGTGATTTTTCTCCCCCCATATGCTTAGGTTAAGGAATAATCATTAAATGATGGTCATAGCATTTCTTATTCCACAGTGATGGCATATACCTGCATGGCATACCATTTTTTATGTAGTTACTTGGTAATACTATTAAGAAGTTTTAATTCTTCACGTTTTCCATAAAGTAATAATTTTAATGATACATTTAGTGAGATTGATTGCTCCATTAAGATCTACAAAGGAAAGTCTTCTACCCAAAGCTAATAGATACCGTAGACAAAATTAAATTCTAACATTTGTTAAAAGGTCCCAAGGAGAATATAATCATTTTCAGTCTTTCCTTGAGCCATTTGATTTTTCTAGAGCTGCTGTTTCTATCTTGTGTGATAGAAGATAGGTGGGGAGCCCCACACCTTCTTTATGCCTGCCACAATTAATCATAAATATAGCATATTTTTATATTTTAACTGATTGCCAAATCATTACCAGTATCACATATAACATCACACTCAGAATGTCCTATAAGTTTTGGATTATTAGTAAGTCTTTTCATTAAGGATAAAAAGCAATTTGTGCATTAAACAAGACAGACCTGGGTAAAATACATGATTCTTCCATTATGAACAGTTATTGGAAGAGTATGCAATCAGGATATTTTAAGACATTCTCTTTCAAGATTAACTGAATCTCCCACCTATGCCTCATTTACTCTTTTGTGGATTATTGGAATGTAGTGATAATTAGACTGGTTCATAGGGTTGTATCCAGGACTGCTACAAAGACAAGGGCAGGAATTACACATCCATCCAGAACAGAAATTTTATCTATTTTATGCATTCGGGTTTCATGTAACTTTTTGATCAAGAGTAAGGAGATATTTGACTACCAATCATCATCATCTTCCTCCACATCCTCCTCAAAAGTGCTATAAAACACTCACTCGTTTGAGTGAGGAATGTGGTTTTAGTATTTCATAGAGCTTATACTGTTTTCCATGGTTTGAAACTTTTAGAAGAAGTCTTACTAAACCTCGCCCCAAAGCTGGCCTTTCCGAGGTAAAGTAATCCCATTCTCTGTTTTGAATGGGTACATTTCTGTTTTCTTGTTATTAGTGAGATTGGATAGTTACAGAATGTTTTGTCCATTCAGTATTCTCCTTCACTAATTTATGTTCTATGGATTCTCTATAAACTTCCTGTCCTTTCTTTTAGTTGTGATCTCAGAACAAATGCCACATACTATTTTTTACCTCTAAGGATTGTATATTTGATTTTCCTGGTATGTCATGTCTCTGCCAAGAGACCCTTGCAGTTGATCTGTAAAAAGGAACTTCAGGTCCTCCACATTGCCAGTAACTTATATTCACTAATTTTTTTTCCCATTTTACCCTTTAAAATCATTGCTGATAACATATAAATAAGACCTATATGCAAGATTCATTAGGTATAAAACATTAACAGGATTCTGCAGTAGGTTTCCCTTGTTGACAAATTCTTACTCCATTAGATCTGGTTCACATTGAAATGTGAGTCTATTTTAGTAACCTTATCACAGGACATTAGTTTTTTGTAAGACACATTTGCCATTGTATAGTAGTTAAAGTACGTATCATGGTATAGTTAGCCTTGAAAGTCTTAATTTTTTCTACTCAAAGATATATTGGATTTGACTTTGTATAGCTTAGCCTGTATGTCAGTTAAAAGGTAAAATACCAGTTGGGTCACGTGAGCATTTTGATTGGTAGGTACTGAAATTTAATTGACTATTTTTTGGCAATATTTTGTACTATAGTAAGAGTTTAAGAGCGCTGGTTGAATTGTTAGATGTACCTAGTTAGAACCCCAGTTCCACCATTTATTATATCTAATAGTGGGCCGATTAGACTAAACCTGCAGTTTTCTCATGTGTGAAATGGGTATAATAATTACTATTTCGGGAACTTGTGAAGATTAAATGAGATGATAATAGCTAATATTTAATGTTTAGAATATATCAGGTCTTTTCTAAATGGTTTACATGTATTAACTCATTTTAATCTTAGACTAAACCTCTAGGCTGTATATTGTTATCTGGTGTTGTAGTTGAGGAAACTGAAGCACAGAGAGGTTAAGAGTTTTGCCTATGATGTATGTAATGTACATAGCACGGGTCCTTAGGACATAGGTAGCATTTGCTATGTTTGCTCTTATTTTGTTGAAATGAGTAGTCATTTTGAAGTAGCCAAATGTGTTATATTTTTAAGTAACTGACCTATGGCACAACATTCAAAGGATCTTTTGTGGCACTTTTTTCTTTCCTCTTGTCTCCATAGCTCTTGGTGCTGGACAGGCATCTTTGTTTGGGAACAACCAACCTAAGATCGGAGGGCCTCTGGGTACAGGAGCCTTTGGGGGCCCTGGATTTAATACCACGACAGCCACTTTGGGCTTTGGAGCCCCTCAGGTCCCAGTAGGTAAGTGTCAGTCACTTTAGAAGGCTATACTCAGATTATTTCTTGCTAATAGTTGCCTTGTTGGCCTTTTTCTATTCTACATCTGTTCTCCCCATCAAAGTAATACATACATGCTAGTCATGAACAATTGTATAATACAGAAGTACTTACAACAGGCTCCCTTCTCCCCACTCTCAGGCCCACTTCTCCAAATAAACTACTTATGTTACTTCTTTTAATTCATCTGGGGTATAATTAAGTCCCTGTCTCTAAATGATGTGCTTGTATTTCTGTGCTTTGCTTTATTAAGTATACAGTAAATTGAACTTGTTATGGTAGGTGAGAATTTAGCTCACTTATCAAACTCTATCTTCTTTATTTACTTCTCCCAATATAACTATATTTACTAATTGTAGTTTTACCTATTGAAGTGTTTTTCAAATTCCATTCATTCAAATACCCCTTCCTAGTTTTTGCCATATTTGCCTACCACCTTTATTATTCACAGGTAACTTAAGAAAATTAATGTTTTATTTATTTACTTATAGATACAGATATATAGATAGATAAAACGTTGTTCTACCAGAATAAGAATTTAATATCACTTGGTGTAAATAGAGTAACTGTGAGATAGACCAGTGGGTGGTTGGATGGATAGGTAGGTGGGTAGGTAGGTGGATAAGAATGAATGGATAGATAGGAAGACAGATACTACTAAATTTAAATTTATCTTCTGTACTACCATGATACATGTTCCACATTTTGATAAACCTTTGCAAATTTAATGTATGTAGTTATATCCAAAAAACCAAATCAAATCCGTTGACATCAAGTCCATTCTGACTCATAGCTATCCTATATTACATTTTCATGTAATTCCTTCCCTTTGTATTCTGTTCTTTTTCTGGAAAGCCTATTAAGCCAGTAGTTCTTATATCGATACGGGATAACTTTGCATCTGCTTCCCCACCCTCCAGACCCCCTCCACCCTAGGGACATTTGGCAAAATCTGGAGACATTTTTGGTTATCAAACTGGGGAAGCTGTGCTACTGGTATTTAGTAAGTAAAGATCAGGAATGCTGTGAATCATTCTACAATGCACAGCACAGCCTCTCACAAAGAATTATTTGACTCAAAATGTCAGTAGTTGACACTGCCTCACTGTGTTTAACTGTATGCCAAATCTCTTCCTCTACCTCTTTTATGTAAACAAAGTTTTGTTGGAATACAACCATTGTTTCCTTGTTTATGTGTTTTCTGTGGCTGCTGTCACATTGTAATGGCAGAGTTGAGTAGTTGAAACAGACCATTTGGCCTGCAAAGTTAAAATATTTGTTATCTGACCCTTCATAGGAAAGTTTGTGGACCCCTCCTGTCTGTCTCTCTTTTTTTTCCTTTATTTTCTTTTAGTTCTACATTCTTAGAGGTTTTTATTGTCTTCCAAATCTTTTTAAACCTTTATTTTCTAAGAATTCTTTCTTGTTCTGGATGTTCTTTTTTTTTTCAAGCATGTAGTTCTTAGATTCAGGTTTTTTTAAACTCTGATTTTGTTAATTGGCATTTAAAAAAAAAAACTTTCAGGGGAAGTTCTTTTTATTAAATCTCCAGAGTTATTTTGCTTTGATCCTCCTCTTTAGTGTTTGATAATCCTTTCCATTCATATTTGAGAATAAAATAATAAAAAATTGTCAGCTCTATATGTGTGGATTTACCAGTGGATACTGCTTTAGGGTAAGCAGGCTAAGAACCAGCTATTGTCTTAAAGTACTCTAAATATTATAATGCGAAATCCTTAGCTCTGGGACAATACCACTGCTCACAAAGTTGCTGTTGTTCTTTCCATCTGGTTTACTTGGTTCATTAGATGCACTCTCTGATATTTTGGCTTACTTGTTTAGTATTCAGGGATTAGGAGGAAAATAGGTTACAGTTTTTTTGTATACCGTCTTATTAATTTTTCCTTCTATTTTCAGTCCCACTTTATCTGTTTTGGTATTCTTGAACCCCTAACCTTTTTGTCATTCTCCTGGGCACCTAGTCTCCATTTTTGGCTATAACCACCTTTGAGTGTAATCTAAGCTATAGTTTGCTTTATCCTGCTTTATTAGTTATCAGTCCTCTGTCCTTTTCTTTCTCATAGAAATGTGTTATATTTTCTTAACTATTCATTTGCCCCCTTTTACTCCTTGTCATTGTAGGTTTATATAAATACATTTCGTTTTATGTTGCCATAGATTTCATGGGGTCTTTGGAGGAAGCAGAGATCAATTAGAGTTCTAATTGATCTCTGTATGAATTTGATAGTCAGTTGTCAGTTCGTCATTAAAGGTGACGTTTTCATTTTTTTTTTTCCTCTCATTTTTGGTTGTTTTCAGCAGAAGGAATTAGCATATTGCAACTACTGTTTCAAGATAAAATGTATATAAGTTGTTGAATGGAGAACTAATTTGCTTTGTAAACATTCACCCAAATCACAGTATTATTTTTCAGAAAAAGAAGGGAGCATAAACACCTTAACCTGCCATTTTTATTTGATAGCTTTTTAACTGATTTTTAATAATCTACCTATTTTTCAAAAGGAACTAAAAATTTATAATACAAAATTTAACAGTTCAATTGTCTATATTAACTGTCCACTAATTGTATTGATTTTTAGAATGTACATGTTTGCATCACAGAATTTTAGTTGAAAGGTATTTTAGAGCTCATATGAGTCCACCTTTTACTTATTTACTTATTGTGAGAATCCCTTACTTACCTTAAAAACTTCAGTTTTTGAGGCTTTCTGTCTTAGGCTGAGTTCTCTGAAGAAGCTTGTATCTATATACATGTTGTTGGTGCTATCGAGTCTGATCCAGTGCACAGTGACCTTCCGTACAACAGAATGAAACACTGCCTGCTCCATCCACACAGTCTTTGCTATGCTTGAACCTATCATTGCAGCCACTGTGTCAATCTTGTTGAGAGTCTTCCCATTTTTTGCTGACCCTCTACTTTTCAGTCTATCTTGTTGAGATTCTTCCCCCTGCTTTTTTTTTTGTGTGTGATTTGAGTGAAAATTTACACAGCAAATTCACTTTCCATACAGCAGTTCACATACACTTTGTCTCATGACATTGACTATAATTTACCCCAGTGCAACAGCTTCCCTCCCATTTCCTCCCAATAGTTACCTCTTCCCTGTGTCCATCCCTCCATGTACTCCTTCCCCCTGAACTGTCTCCCTGTACATTAACAGCCCTTCTTTCTCCCATGATTGTTCTCTCCAAGGAGTGTATTTACGTATTTTAAATGTTCAGCTCATATGCCTGTGTTTTGTTTGGCTGGAAGCCATAGGAGTGGGATTCAATTCCAGACCTGAAGGGCAGCTAGGGGCCATAGTCTCAGTAGTTCCACCAGGCTCTATCAGACCAGCAAACCTGGTTCTCCCCTCCCCCCCTTTTTTTCCCCAAATGATGTTGAATTTTGTTCCACATTGTTCTCCCTCTCTATGCAGGGTCTTCTACATAGATCCCCCTCTGAGTGGTGGACAGTGGTAGCCAAATACCATCTAGGTCTTCTAGTCTCATAGTTGTATAGGCTGAGGATCACATGGTGTATCAGTTGTTAGGACTATTGTATCCATGAATTTTTGGTTTTCTTCATTCTACTTTGCTCTGGACGGGGAGAGACCCATTGTTGCATCTAGATGGCTGCTTGCCAGCTTTTAAGATCCCAGTCGCTACTCGCCAAAGTAGGAGGTGGAACAGTATTTTGTGTAGTATGTTATGCCGATTGAGCTTGATGTCCCTTGTGACTATGGTCCTGAGCCCACAGGTTCAACTACTTGGTTTTCTGGGTAGCTGGCTGTGACCAAGAAGTGACTACAGTCTTGTCCCTTTTCAGCTCTACTATACACCTGGGAATTCAGATCATACAAATACACTTATAGGACCATTGTCTGCTAACCCTGTACATGATCTTGGGTACACTCCCCGCTTCATAGACATACCTAATAGTTAAGCCTGTCCACCCATCTATCCACCTATATACCTATGTTTGCCTTCACTGACAACACAGTACTGTATGTGCAAAGAGGTTCACCTTTGTTGTCTGTACACCTCCTATGTACATCTCTGTGTCTTCCTCTTCCTCATTGGCACCATGTTGATCACTCATATTTGGTACATTACCCTTCTCTTCACCCAAATCAGTACTTACCTCTACCTATCTAACAGTGTTCCCTCCCTTCCCTTCCCACCCCTGGTAACCAACAAAGAAAATTTCCTTCCATAGATAAACTTTACCTTGGCTTTTACAATAACAGGCTAATACAATATTTGTCCTTCTGTGATTGACTTATTTCATTCAGCGTAATGTCCTCCGAGTTCATCCACATTATGCGATGTTTTGAAGATTCTAGGTTATTCTTTAGGGTTGCACAGTATTCCATTGTGTGTATATACCATAGTTTGGTTATCCATTCCTCAGTTGATGGACCCCTAGGTTTTTTCCATCTTTTGGCTTTTGTAAATAGTGCTGCAGTGAACTGGGTGTGCATATGTCTGTTCTTGTCATGGCTTTCACTTGAGTCTTCCCCTTTTTTTCTGACCCCTCTACTTTACCAAGCATGATATCTTTCTCCAGGGAATGGTCCCTTCTGACAGCATGACCAAAGTATGTGTGACAAAGTCTGGCCATTCTCACTTCCAGGGAGCATTCTGGCTGCATTTCTTCCAAGATAGGTTTGTTTGGTCTTCTAGCAGTCCATGGTATTTTCCGTATTCTTTGCCAATTTCAAAGGCATCAACTGTTCTTTTTTTCTTTTTTTTTAAATTGTGATTTGGGTGAAAATTTACAGAGCAAATTGACTTTCCATACAGCAGTTCACATATACTTTGTCTCATGACCTTGACTACAATTTACCCCAATGCAACAGCTCCCCACCCACTTCCTCCAGATAGTTACCACTTCCCTATGTCCATCCCTCCATGCATCCCTGCCCCCTGAGCTGTCTCCCTGTGCATGAACAGCCCTTCTATCTCCCATGATTGTTCTCTTCAAGGAGTGTATCTACCTCAGGTAAATGTTCAACTCATATGTCAAAGGCCTCAGCTGTTCTTACTCATCCAGCTTTCATATGCATGTGAGGCTATTGAAAATACCATGGTTTGGGTTAGGGTGTACCTTATTTTCATCATGACATCTTTGCTTCTTAACACTTTAAAGCAGTCTTTTGCAGTAGATTTGCCCAGTCTATTTGGGCAAATCTGTTTGATTTTTTGACTCCTGCTTCCATGGCTATTGATTGTGGATCCAAAATGATATCCCTGACAATTTCAGTCTTTTCTCCACTTATCATGATGCTGTTTATTGGTCCACTTGTGAGGATTTTGGTTTTCTTTATATTGAGGTGTAATCTATGCCAAAGGCTGTAGTCTCTGATCTTCATCAGTAAGTGCTTCAAGTCATCTTCACTTTCAGCAAGCAGGGTTGTGTCATCTGCACATCACAGGTTGTTAATGAGTCCTCCTCCTGTCCTGATGCTGTGTTCTTCATATGGTCCAGCTTCTCAGATTATTTACTCAGCATACAAATTGAATAAATACAGTGAAAGGATACAACCCTGATACACACCCTTCCTGATTTTAAACCATGCAGTGTCCCCTTGTTCTGGTTGTATAAGTTCCTTGTGAGTACAGTTAAGTGATCTGGAATTCCCATTCTTCACGATGTTATGCATAATTTGTTATGATCCATGCAGTCAGCTGCCTTTGGATAGGCAATAAAACACAAGTAAACATCTTTCTGGTATTCTTTGCTTTCAACCAAGGCCCATCTGACATCAGCTATGATACCCCTTTTATATCCCTTTTTACAGGTCCTCTTCTGAATCCAGCTTGAATTTCTGGAAGTTTCCTGTCCATGTATTGCTGTAGCTGTTTTTGAATTATCATCAATTTTACTTGTATGTGGTAATGATATTGTTTAATAATTTCCATTCTGTTGGATCACCTTTCTTTGGATTGGGCACAGATATCGATGTCTTCCAGTCACTTGGCCAGGTAGCTGTCTTCCAGATTTCTTGGTGTAAATGAGTAAGCTCCTCCAGTGCAGCATCCGTTTGTTGAAACATCTCGGTGGATATTCCATCAATTCCTGGAATCTTATTATTCGTCAGTTCCTTCAGTGCAGCTTGGACTTCTTCCTTGAATACCGTTGTCTCTTGATCATATGCTACTTCCTGAAATGGTTGAACATCAACCAGTTCTTTTTGATACAGTGTATTTCTTCCATCTTTTTTTGATGCTTCCTGCATCATTCAATATTTTGTCCATAGATTCTTTCAGCATTGCAACTCAAGGCTTGAATATTATCTTCAGTTCTTTCAGGTTGAGAAATGCCAAGTTTGTTTTTCCATTTTGGTTTTCTAACTCCAGGTCTTTGCACATTTCATTATAATACTTTAGTCTTCTTGAGCTGCTCTTTGAAATCTTCTGTTCATCTCTTTTATTTCATTTTCTCTTCCATTTGCTTTAGCTACTGTGCATTCAAGAGCAAGTTTCAGAGTGTCTCTTGACATCCATTTTGGTCTTTTCTTCCTTTCCTGTCTTTTTAATGACCTTTTGATTACCTTGTGTATGATGTTCTTGATGTCATCCCACAACTCATCTGGTCTTCAGTTGTTGGTGTTTAGTGTGTCAGATCTCTTTTTCAGATGGTCTCTAAATTCAGGTGGAATACAATCCAAGTAGTGTGTTGGCTCTTGTGTACTTGTTTTAAGTTTCTTCAGCTTTAACTTGAACTTGCTTATGAGCAGTTGATGGTCTGTTCCAGAGTCAGCTCCTGACCTTATTCTGACTGGTATTGAGCTTCTCCATCATCTCATTCCACAGATGTAGCCAGTTTGATTCCTGTTGATTCCATCTGGCAAGGTCCATATGTATAGGCACAATTTGTATCTACCAGTGTTGCTTCTTTGTTTACAGCTTTTGCATTCCAGTCACCAGTAATTAGCAATGCATCTTGATTGCATGTTTGATCAATTTCAGACTGCAGAAGTTGTTAAAAATCTTCAATTTCTTCATCTTTGACTTTAATTGATACATAAATCTGAATAATAGTAATATTAACATCTTCCTTATTAGTTGTATGGATATTATCGTATCACTGACAGCATTGTACCTCAGAATGGATCTTGAAATGTTCTTTTTGAAAATGAATATGACTCTGTTCCTCTTCAATTTGTCATTACTAGCATAGTCGACCATAAGATTCTGATTCAAAATGGCCAATACCTGTCCATTTTAGTTTATCAGTGCCTAGGGTATCGATCTTCATGCATTCCATTTCATTTTTGACAGCTTCCAGTTTTCCTAGATTCATACTTTGTACATTGCATGTTCCTATTATTGGATGTTTACAGCTGTTTCTTCCTGTTTTTAGTCATGCCACATCAACAAATGAAGACCCCAAAAGCTTTACTCCATTCACGTCATTAAGGTCAACTCTACTTTGTGGAGGCAGCTCTTCCCCAGTTGTATTTTGAGTGCCTTCCAACCTAAGGGGCTCATTTTCTGGCACTATATCAGATAGTGTTTCACTGCTATTCATGAGGTTTTCAGTGGCCAGTGTTTTCCAAAGTAGATCACCATTCTTCTTCCCAGTCCATCTTGGTCTGGAAGCTCTGTTGAAATCTGTCCACTATGGGTGACCCTGCTGGTATTAGAAATACCAGTTGTATAGCTTCTGGCCTTACAGCAACACACAAGCCACCACAGTTCAGCACACTGACAGGTGAGGAATTTAAAGGGTATGCCATGGCAGGAAGTAGTCTTGGGGGTTCCTCTGGTCTCTTCTGTCCAATAAATATGGCCTTTTTTCGGAACTTGATTTTTGTCCTCCTTTTTTGGGAGGGACCTCTATTTTGTCCTTGCTGGGAACGGTTGGTAGTATTTGCCTGACACTGTCTAGTTCTGGTCTCAAGGTAGTATAGATCAGGGTGTGGTTTATATAGACCATTAGTCCTATAAACTAGTTTCTTTTAGTCTTTAGTTTCCTCTTTCACTCCAACCAAGTACATACCAATAGTTGTATGTTAGATGGTTGCTCGCAAGCTTTTAAGACTCCTTATAAATGTCTATAAAGAAAATAAAAAAATTTTATCTCAAATGTCTTAATCCTGGGGTGGGTGAAAAGGGGAGTGTTATCTTGTGGAGGGGGCAGTGACTGAGCTGTTAAAGGTAATGAAAAAATTTGAAACAGTGGTGATGTGTGTTCAATGGGATGAATGTTATTAATGTCACTGAATTGTACATGTAAAGTAGACCGAAATGCCAAATATCTGTGATATCAATATATTTGACATGTCAGTATTTTTTACATGCCTTCCAACCTAAGGGGCTCATTTTCTGGCACTATATCAGATAGTGTTTCACTGCTATTCATGAGGTTTTCAGTGGCCAGTGTTTTCCAAAGTAGATCACCATTCTTCTTCCCAGTCCATCTTGGTCTGGAAGCTCTGTTGAAATCTGTCCACTATGGGTGACCCATATATATATATATACACACACATACATACATATATTTGTTTTAGTATATAGTGTACCTTTCTATGCATAAAAAACATTAAATGTTTCCAGATACACTAAATCATCTTTAACATCATAATATAGTCATCGTAATAATATTTTTATGCATGTTGCAAAGTAGTGCCCATTTGTTATGAGCCATCATATGTACTTCGAATTTTTAGTATGATAAGCTTTACAGGAGTTGGTCGTAACTACTGGTTATCCTGTAACCCAGGGACTGCCTGTGTGTATATGTATGTGAATAAGTGTATGTGTATATGTATATATAGCTCTTTATCATAATTTAAGAATTAAATTGGTTAATTCTTTTGAAAAGTGTTCTTTGTCTAGTCATTTTTTCAAAGATTGATTTTATCTTTCAAAGGTCTCTTAGTCAAAGTATAATGGAGATAGTTTTTTGTTTTCAGTTGATTATTTAATTGTATATTATGAATATAGTTTTCATTGTTCCTTGACTTGTGTCTGTTATTCTCTGTGACTGAAGACAGATGCTTGCTTGTTCTCATACTTTGAAAGAAAATTAGTCTGATTGGGTGATATTTTTTTCCCTTTCAGTTCTTACTTAAATATAATATGCATATTACATGTACATAATAAATGCATAAGTATATCTGAACTGTTTTTTTTTTTTATTATGCTTTCTTCCTTTATATCTTTAGTATATAATTTTTATTTATGAGTTTTTACTTATTAAAGATGCCTTCATATTTCCATAATGAAACACGTTGTTTTTACTAAGTATATAATCCTATATACTTATTATACTACATGCTTATGTGTCTTAATTTTTACAACTGTTACGTTGATCACATAGATTATTTCCAAGTCTTGACTGTTACAGATAATGTTCATTGAACATCTATGAATATTTCTTTATTTTGTTTCTAATATAATTAAATCCTTGGTTTAAATTCCTATGATTGAAATGACAAGGTTAAAAACTATAAAACCAGTACTTGCCGTATGTACTGTCATAATGTTTTCTTCAGACAGATTAAGCCAATTTATAATGTTTCTGTAAGTCAGAGGCCGTAACACTTGTTACAGCTGTGCGAGTCATGAGTAGTGAGGTAGGAATGAAATATTCTTCAAGGATATTTTAATTTTATTTCTTTATTACTGGTGATGAACATTTTCTACATGAATTTCTATGTGTGTCATCTCTTATAAAACACCTTTCTATATCTTTGGGCCATTAGTTTATTGGATTCTTGATTTCTTTCACTTTTTTTTTTTCCTCTCCACTAATACTGTTGAGTGAGTCTGAACATTTTGGAGACCACATCCCCCAAAAAAAGTGCTGAGTTCTCTTGGTAAAAATGGAGTGGATCCTTGGGCTAACACTTTTTTTTCTTTGTCTTTTGTTAAGCTTTGACAGATCCAAATGCTTCTGCTGCCCAGCAGGCTGTCCTCCAACAGCACATCAATAGTCTAACCTACTCACCTTTTGGAGATTCCCCTCTTTTCCGGAATCCCATGTCAGACCCTAAGAAGAAAGAAGAGGTAAAATTCAGGATGCTTTTGTAAAATTTCTTCTTAGAAAAGGAGAAACTAAATGTAGAGAATATAATTTCCTGGCTTTATGGTATAAGAGTATAAGCAGAACTAGCTTTATGGCATAAGAGAATAAGCAAAGCTAGATGGCAGTCAGGGCTGAGATTTTACAATAGCCCTGAAGTAAGGTAGCTATTATTCTCATTTTATAGTCAAGGAAATTAAGGATCAGGGAAGCTGACTGGCTTTCCTAAGATTGTAATGCCCTGAAGTGGCAGAATCAAAAACTCTTCCTGATTTCTACATAGCTGTGTCTTACTCTCTTATGCTCTAGTGGCAGAGAAATTGTCTTTGTCTAGGTCTGTCTTTGGTTTGTGTTTGCTTATTTTACTACCTTAAAGCTTGTGAGACCTTGGGCAAATTATTTTCCCTCACTGAATCTCAAATTTCCTCATCTTTAAAATGGAAATAGTAAATGCTGAGGATTAATACATATAGATAGTAAGTTGTTCACTGTACAGAAACTGTTGTTATTAATTCATTTATGTTATCTCATTTATCCTTCTGGTAGTTCTTAAGTTAACCCTGTAAGCTAGATACTATGAAAAGCAAAATATGACTGGCAGTATTTTTTAAAGTGCTATATAAATGTAAGATGTGGGGACTTCTGGTAAGATGGTCAAATAGGCAGACAGGCTACACAGACCCTTTTAAACAAAGAAAAGAGAAACCAATTGACAGATACGGAAGATAATCCTGGAGCCCTGAGCTTTAAAAGGAAGTATACAGAAGTGGATTAGACACCAACTAATGGAAAAACCTGAATGGAAACAGTGAGTACGGAGACGGTCAGAGCAGCATACTGTTAGTTACTCTGACGGGAACACCAGCCTAAATGTTTCCCAGTGGTGTTGGGACCTGAGAATTAACCTAAAGATCAGCCCTGGTTGCCAAGGGCTGCCGGGACAACTGTGCTGGTGGCCTATGACTAGGAAGGGAAACAGCAAGGAGGGAGATGAGCTGCGGATTTTCGGCTGTCCAGAGAGCGCAGCCATTTTGATTGTTTACAACCAGCAGCGCGGTCACTTTGGATATTTAAAGTGATCGAGGGCGCAGCCATTTTGAATGTTTACAAGCGGTGGCCATTTTGGATATTTAAAGTGACCGAGAGTACAGCCATTTTGAATCTTGACAAGTAGGGGACATTTTGGATTTTAAAGTGACAGCATTCTCATTTGGATTCCAGGGACCTAAGAATAGGCTCTGTTTGCCAAGGACAGCAGGGACATATGGGAGGCTGACAGTGGGAAAGGAGATAGGTAGCAAGTGCATAAGTGCTGCCGACTAGTTAAATAGAGGAGCACAACACAATACTCTGCTTACGTAGATAACATACAAAGAGAACGAAAATTGTGGGTGCAAAAGCAGCAAGGAGGCCACATGTTCTGACCTCCTCTAACCCTACAAGAGAAAGACAGGATTACCAGC